TGGGCTACCGGATTGACCGTTCAGCCCCTCGAAGAGGCTGGCGAGTTAATAGCTTCCAGATTCGCTTTCTATACATTGGGTCTAAGTAGGGCATCAACCTGACACAAAATGGCTTCTGCGGGTGCGAAGATGATCACAGCATGATCACTTTTACTAGGGGTGCAAGGTGCCGGATGAGGTGTACCTCTTCTATGTGTGAAGATACTAGGTCTCGAACTGATGGAGCATGCTGATTATCGTATCTGGTTGCTGCCCTTATGTGGTGTACAAGAGTCAAGGAAATTGATGTTTCCACCAACCTATGATTGAATCGACTACGTGATACTTATATTATTAGTCCCCCAATAGGCAGTTCAAATTTTCTGTGATGGATCATTCAAAGGGGCTCATATTGTGAGCAAGAAGTTATTCGTGACCCTTGCGCTGGCCCCTCGTTGCGCTGCCTTTCTGTGTTCTTATAAAGCTGCCGATTCCAAATCAGCAGAATTTGCTGTTGTGAAGATTACTCTAGTGTCACATTTCACAAACTGGTCACGTAATTTGCTTAGACAGTTAATGGTGAGTAGGTTATTTTTGAATAAGTTGGTGGTGAGGTTTACCTTCTTGGCCTGAGGAAAATCCTCCTCGCCCTTCTCTGAACCAGTCGCGGAAAGTTTTCGTTTCAATCAAGCGGCTGGGAGCTGACGCGTCGAGAAGCTCAATATGTTGCTTGAGGATTGTTCCCCATTTCAGGCATTAGTGATCCGTAGGCTAAAACAAAGGTTTTTGCATCACAAAGAAATAAGGCATACTGAATCACTCGTTCGAGTTTCGTTTTCACCCACAGGTGTGCATTTTTCTGGGAAACATGAGGGTCTACTCTGCGCCGCACAAAGGCTATCAACTTTCCTGACTGCGGTAGGGGAGGCACCCACCAAAATTTAATCATCACCCAAGACTGCTAGCCATTCACTTCGTCTTGAATGCTTCATTGCAGAAGCTCTGCATGCACGTTATTCAGTGGGAGACTCTACAGAAGGCGAAATAATGACATTGGGATTATGATACTGGACGCGAAGATGGGTAGCAGCCGCTAAGACTGTCCAGATTTGGCATTTGCCGCACAATTACAAGCTGGTGAACTAAGCACAACAAAAAATGGAGTGACGATAGTCCCATGACGACTAGTGACCCAAAACTGGAACCTTGCTCCTACCTGGAACATTCTGACACATTCGTACGGCAACGTCAGGGGATCAAGAGGTAGAAAAGGGAAGATGAAGACACTCCGTAAGTACTTGTACACAAAAATCACACTCGTAAAAAGGCTGTATCCCCCGTCCGACGTTTCGGACAGGGGTGCATGTTCCAGGCGTGTAAGTTTTCCGCGAGGACTGGCGACGCCAGACCCAACTACCTAGGCGCCTCTCGCGAAACTACACAACCAGCCCACCCCTTTCACCGGGCACACCCTAACATGTATGTATAGCAGCGTTAGGGGGCTAAGAGCGAAAGTAGCAGAGATGAGGACGCTGCGTGTACATCAGCACTCCGACATCATACTTATTACCGGATCCTGGCTGTCGCCGGACATCTTCGACGAAGGGATCCATGTTACTGGCATGGAACTCTTCCGCAGGGACAAAGAGCTCAGAGCGGGAGGGGAATGGCTCTCTGCACAAGCTCTGATTTAAAGGCAAGGATGATTAGCAATACCGCCTTAACCCAGCTCCCGGAATCTCCATGGTACTGATTCGTCCTCCACCGTACTAAACACCTACTTGGAGTCATTATCGGTCCCCCACCAGCTCCCCAACACATAAGGAAATGGTCACCAAGGGAATCTTGACGACCTCACCTGCAGATTACAGTCCCGTAATCATCGCCGGCGACTTCATCACCCCGTCCACCCCCTTCGAAACGGAGGGGAGACGCATCAGATCCTTCAGTTGGAAGCTGAAGAATGAAATTGAGACTGCTGGCCTTCCAGAGAAAATGGGCGATGTCACACGCTGGGAACCTGACAGAAATGCCTCGCTCCCTGATTACGTTCCAACGAACGACGACCTTCTCAGCGAGGATGCATGTATCCAGCCGCCCCTTGACCCCAGTGACCGCACGGCAATGATCTCCATGATTGCTAGGGGGGCCCTGCAAGCGTAGACGCCCAAAATCCCCCTTGCTACAGCAAGGTCAACTACGAGACCATTAGGGACTATCTCATGAACGCATCTTGGCCGGTAGACTGAACCCGTCCCTCAGTGGATGAACGCTGGTTACAAGTGAGGAAAATAATCGCTGGGGCCATCAGTCACAGCGTCAGAGAGGTAACGCATAGACTATCAGTGACGAACTCGTGGCTAAGGCGTGGGACAGAAAGGCTAACTCAGAGCAAGAAGCAGGCTTAGTTCAAGGGGCATTCTTCTCGCTTGGAGTCTGACTTTTTGAACTACGATAGGATTCGCGACTGCCGTAACACAAGGTTGCGTAGCGATAGATTCGTCCATCAAACAAACCTGGCAGGGGGGTTGCAAAGTGAGCAGGAAAGCTGTACGACTTCATATCGAAAGGGAAGTCGACCCGCAAGGGAGTGGATATTACCTCAGGTCCTGATGGGAGTGTGCCAAGCAGCCTAGAGATTGCCGGGCTTCTGAGCTCACACTTCCGGTCCCAACTTAGTACCAACACCAAATCCACACCGACTCGTAACGGCACCAGCCAGGTCATAAGTAACAAACACCTCTGCCACATTTCAATCACAGAGAAAAGAGTGTCGGGGAAGCTATCTAGGTTATGTTCAAGCAAGTCCCTTGGCTGCGGTAACCTAAAACCGGTGATCCTAAAAAGCTGCGCCTAGGTGCTTGCAAAACCAATCTTCAACCTCTTCAAGCACTCAGTAGAATCGTGCAAACTCCATAAAGAATGGAAGTGCGTCATCTTTTCACCCATCTTCAGGGGAGGAGAAGGAAAATGCCCTGCCCTCTACTCCCCATACTGTCGAAAGCCTGGTAGCCAAAGAGATCTGGAAACTTCCCAACAGAAAAAACACTACCCATACTGCTCGGCGCTGATCTAGGGGTGGTGGCTCACGTACCACGAACTTGCTAGCCACCTGGGATGACTGGACACTAAGCTGGGATAACAGAGAACCGGTGCATATAGTTTTTCCCGACCTAGCCAAAGCATCTGACACTGACCCACCCACAGTCCTACTTCACAAGTTCATGTCAGCTGGTATAAATCAACCCCTACCCTCTTGGTTCAAGGAGTACCCGGAAGGGAGGCAGTTCTGCACCAAGGTTGGCAGAACACAGTCGAAGTGGATACCGTCGGCGTCAGGAGTATCCCAGGGAGCCATCCTAGGACCGCTTCTGTCCCTCCTGTTTGTCAGCGATCTAACAGACAAAATATCCTCATTCATCCTCCTCTTCGTTGACGACATTAAATTTGGAGGGTGGTAAACGAAGAAGTTGACTGTACAGCGCTATGAAAGGACTTGCAGGCAACTCAAACTCTGGTCCACTGCAAAATGGCTTGGGCCTCAACCTGGAAAAGGGCAGAGTACATGCTGAGCAACCGTGCTATCACGAGAGCGTCCATGGAGAAAGATTTGGGGCTCAACTTCTCCGACAATTAGAACACCGGCTCCATCTAGAAAGACATGGCAACCAGAGCGAACGCCGCTTTGCACTTTCTGCGTAGGTAGCTCGCCGTCCTCACTCCCGAACTCTTCATTGCCGTTTTCGAGTCCTACGTGTGGCGGCGCCTAGGGGTCTTCAATACGGTTGCCCCCAACACTCAAGAGAGGCTCTAATCTCCTTGAAAACATGCAAAGAGCCGCAATAAAATCAGTTGTGGGGCTAAGGTTGAAGGCATATCCTGAAAGACTTAAACACCTAAATCTATTCACCTCGGGTTATCATAGGAAGAGAGGCGACTTTATTATGGCCTAAAAGATCCCCCATCAAGCAGACCATGAAAGCAAATCAACCCTGCCTGCAATACAGCGGTCTTCACGAAGAGACCCCACTAAGATAGCACACCAGAGAGCCAACACCATACTCAGGTTCAATTTTTTCTCCCCGGGGGTATGCGCTTTATGGAATGCCCTACCACGACACATCGTTATAGCCTCCTCAGTCGACTCACTCAAGAGACGGTAAGACTGTTATATCACCTCGCACGGTCTACCACGGACGTACTCAGGAAGTCGCCATCCACACTAGCCCACCCTCACCTCCCTCCTACCTGCCACTCACTATCTCGCTGCTTAATACATCCACATTACCTGCTAATTCTTTTCCAGGAAATAGACCTACGCTATCCATCCCTACCATTCGGGCAATTCCCACATACCTTTCTCTCTTTCATGTCTCTCTCCTTACGTCTGGGATCTGCCCAGAATTAAGTGAATTTCCACATTTTATTCGCCACCTTTTCATCCTTTTGTACATCGGTTAACAACCACAAGGAGTAGTGAGCCACTGGATTTTAGACGAGGAAGCCAGTTAAGCGGAAGCTTCTTCTATTCCGTCAGCAACCATTTGAACCATTTGAACCGCTTCTCTTCCTTTCCCCTCTCCTTTTTCTTTTCTTCTTCGTTCTTTTCATTCTTTACCACTATCTTACTATCCTCTTTTCAGGATACCTAGACAGACAGGAGTCACGACAGTCCCCTAACCGTCTCAGCAACCCCTAGCTCCCCAAACATCCCTACAAATTACAACTTACTAACCCACAAAACATCCACCTCACCAAAGCTAAAAGCAAGAAAGCAGAGAGGATTTCCTTGTTCACTGCAAGGAGTGAACCGAACAACTCGAACCAAGTCCTAAGAGCCAGCTGTGAGAGATCAAAAACTATCAATTTTCTACGCTCGCTACTATCAGTATTGATATTAAAACGAAGGGCAGGCCAAGTCTCTGACGTGAGATATCAGAAATGGGAAGCTTACTTCACTTATAAAATTTTTTCCATTGTTGTATTTCACAGTGGTTGTTTTGTTTGTGATGTCTAATGGACACTCAACCTTGAGTAACCTTGTCTTTGGTAGGATATTTAATATAATTTCAGCAGCACTGCAGCATTTTCGTTGTTTGATATGTCAGACTATTGTATTTCAGTGAGTAGATTATTTTTGCTAACTCCGTAAAGTTGAGTGATGATTTTAAAGGTTATCCTGTGGATAAGTTCTGCATGTCTTCTCGATATGATGGGTGCATAGACTACGTCCTCATACCGAATGGCATGGTTAAAGATAGGTAAATGATACTTGAAATTCCATTTTCACATAGATTGGAAAAAATGGCCATGGATATTGTGAATACTTATGAGGCCTCCAACGCAAAGTCCATAACACTTGTGTGCGTTCTGAAAGGGGGTTTCAAATTTCTTGCAGATCTTGTTGATGGACTGGAGCATACTGTTCGTGCAAGAGGTATCGTCCTGCCCATGACAGTAGAGTTTATTCGTGTAAAGAGTTATATCGTGGGTTTCTAAACTTGTTAATGTTCGATTTTTTCTTTGATTTGCTAGAATGGTGTTAGTGCACATGAGCCAATAATTTCTGGTTTGGAAAATCCTGCGGATTACAAAGACAAGGTAAATTTCCATCTTACTTAGATTGTTTGCGCAGGATATTCTCGTTGTTGAGGACGTGATTGATACGGGCAAAACGATGACAAAACTTTTGAGTTTTTTGGAAAGTTTATCCACTAGAAGTGTTAAAGTTGCCAGGTATGTATACTAATTCATTCAATATGTAATTACTTCTGATGTACATAGAATTTTCATATAATGTACTTGATTGATTGTCTGTAGTGGGGTTCTTCGATGTATTATTTAGTTTTAGTTAAAATAGTTGCGATTTTCTTTTCATCGAAGTAGAAATTTCGAGTGATTTCAGAGCATACCCCTTCAAAAATTCCTTCACTTCGTTGTTTAAACTTCCTGTGTATCTGCGTCACGGGGTCAACACAATTTCTATTTCTGGTAGGATAGGTAGTTGAGAGACTGGCCTACTTGTTCCTTACTGTTTGCACATCTGTAAGTACAGTCATCCATCCATCCATCCAACTCAACATAGGGCAAGGCATTACTGCGTAACGGTCCCACTTGCCACATACCTCGTGTTATCCACCGCATCAAGTAAAAAGGCACTGAAGTGAAAGATGAAGAGGAAAAGAAAATTCAGTCGAAAGAAATATAAAGTACGAAAAGAGAGTAAGGACGAATGAGAAAATGGTGAGATCCGGTATAGCGTCGTTAAGATAAAGATAATGTGTGTATACATCTCCGCCACTGATATCAACTCTGAGCCATATCATCTAAAGTCTCTAACCAGTGATTCCTCTTGTCCCGCAGACCCCAACCTACTTTACGCTTCGGCCCATTTGCCTAAAGTCAACAGTCAAACACTTCATGCATTGGTGCCATGTTTTGGTCTGGCCGGGAGCCTCAAGCCTTTTTCCTGTCTGGACCTACTTCGGTCAACATTGTGTGATAAGGCGGATGGCGATTAGACATACGTACCACATGTCCGAGGCAGCCATCTCAGTCGATTAAGGTTCACAACTGTCAATTGATTTACCTTTTCTTCCTAAAACTCTACACCTGACTTCTGCATTATTCACATGGTTTGGACAACTGAAGACTGATGTATATTGCGTCAAGAAAGTTTTTTTTCAGACAATCTGTCATATAGTTTGCTGGTTGTTCTATTATGGGATTCTGAATAAGTTCTATTCTCTTAAATTCCATCTGCTACTCATGAACCTATCAGAATTTGAAAGAAACCATCAAGTACATCTGGAATCCTCCTGTGATGCACTACTGTTACTACTACTACTACTGAAAATATTCAAGAGCTGTTTTAATTTTAGAGGAGCAGATGGCTTGCTAATTTGCTGCAAAGTTGCTTGGACTACATGTTCATTTATCTGAGAAACATTTTCTCGGGAGAATTGTTTGATCTGTACTTTCCTATGTAAGAGTAACGGTGTCGATTTTCAAAAGATTTACTTTAAATTCGCTGTAAGTTTAAACATTTCTGTAAGTTAACGATGAGCTGATGAGTTTCTACTTGAAATTATAGCATATTCACCGCTCTCATCCACGTCTATGAAGCCAAAACACATACCTTTCGGTAATTAGGATCCTGGTTTATATGTTGCCCCACCTACTTAGTTGTAGATAGTATCAAAAACCATCACGTGAAAGAGACTCATAACCTAATCCATATATCAGGTTATAACATTAAATTGCTTTGTAATCCTGTTAACATCAATAAGCACAGGACACTTGGTATACGATACTGGATTATTCTTAGAAAACGTACCTAGTGCATTCTCATCATTGAACTTATGGCTCTGAGATGTAAATCCGTCAGAAAGATGTACTAGCCAGATTTAATAGTTCTTCGCTTACTTGACATAAATGTGATACAACTTTCTTAACAGACATTTAAGTGGTTGTTATTGTGAACGGGATAACGGACATTTTAATGTGTAAAATTCTCTCTTCTCTGGTCTACATATCCAAGGTAATCGTCTTATAAAATTGTTTTTGATATGCATCCTTCTGTTTCGATGGTCATCGGTCACTCATTATATTTCATATCATAAACGTTTCTGTGGAGCTGTGGCTCAGTGGTTTAGGGAAATGAACATCAACCATTAGGTCAAGGGTTGAAGCCACACTCCACTTTCCAAGGTCTGGATAGCCACGTAGTATCACTAGCCTTCATATAATAGTTGCAACTCATTGTCTACTGCACGGATGTGCACAAGGTGGCTTAGTGCGTTTCGTTTGCTCGTCTCATGGATTTTTCGAGGATTTTACTTAGATCTGATTTTTGAATTGAATACATAGTTTCTTTCATTTTTCAGCTTACTCGTTAAACGTAAACCGAATGGTGTTGCTTATCGACCGGATTGTAAGTGTATAGTTGTGAATTTTTATACGACTACTTTCTACATAGTCAATGGTTTCCTTTGGTCTTTAACCTAGTATCTTATGTGTTTTGATGCATTACTATTCTATAATGATACTCGTTACAGACTTCTAAGCATTGATGGTTATTTCAGTTCACTAGTTCAAATATTAGCACATCAATGAAGCAGTTGTTTTCTCTATATCTTGAAGGAACAAATACGTAGGATGGTTATTCCGTGTACGGTTCCATCCATTAAATTTTATTTCAATAGGTATTTTGTGTCAGTACGCTAGTTAGTGCTTACCTATTACTAATATATGAACGTCAACATTTCAGAAGTCTAGTAGTATGTGAATTTACACTTTTTGATACAAATTTACAAGAGTGAAAGAACTGACGACGCCTAACATCGGGTCTTTTATTTTACAGTCCTACTTTAAAGCATTTTTAGGATTTAAGTCCATTTATCAAAAGCTATAGGTTTCAGAAGTGAATCAATCTATCAGTCGTACCCATAAAAAATAGTATGATATTTGTTTAACTTAAAATGACAGATAAGAGTACTGGAATTTACTTAAATTGTTACATATTGATCACTTCTGGTGTGTAAGATGTAAAGAACATGGTAAATTAGTTTCAACACTTTTTATCAAGTCTCAATCATATCATTACAACATATGGTAATGAAAGCATGACACTTTAGAATGAAGACTGTAACGGATTCCTGAAAAAGGTCTATGAATCTCGCCAACGTTTTCATCAATTGAGGAAAATCCACGTAAATACATTCTCACAAGCTTTAATCACAATGAGGAGTGGATGCAACTCAAATGTAAACAGATAAAAGGTTTACGCGATTATCACAAGCAGTTAGGGTTTGCAAAAGCTAAGGAGATGCAAATGGCAGTGGTGATAAATAACAGTAGATAGTTATTTAAACTTATCCAGAAAACTAGGGACTATAGCAAAGAAAGATAGGTGTGAGTTTCACTTACAGGGAAGACAAATTGAACGGTGGGAGGAACACTTTAAGGAACAGTTCAGATGACTTCCAACTACCATTTGATCACTCTCTATGTAGTCAAGTTCTGAATGAAACACTTGTGCCTTTGCTGAAATTGAAAAGGGTGTAAGTAACTTTAAATCAGGTCAGGCACCAGGTTAGAACCAGTGGCAGTTAGAGAACGTAGTCGCGTATTATCTAGAATATATGAATAATATATCATCCCCTCTGACATCTCAATTACTGGTTTCCCCAATCTTCAAAAAAGGGAAGAAATCCCCTTGTAAATAAGCACAGAAGAATCTGCCTGAAGAATTTAGCATCTCAGATTCTATGTTTAGTGATTATCAGACATCTAAACGGAGGTAGGTAAAAGCAAACCTGAGAAAAATTAGACAGGTTTCAGACTTGGTCTTGAGTTTGTCGACTAAATATTCACTGTCCACCAGGTTTTGGACCAGACATTACTGCATAACAGTCTAAGTAGCCACATCTCATATCAGCGCACCAAGGGAGAAAGCAGTAAAATAAAAGGTAAAAGAAAACACTAAATGTCAATTTGAGAAGTTATCAAATGCGTTTTTCAACATCTAAATGTAGTTTACTGCTTCAGATTTAGGAAGTGAAGATATTGAATCCGTTGACTTCTGCACTCACTTAAAAAATTGACGAAACCCTGCTAGCTCGGTGGCCGGTGTAATTTCGATATGAATACAGAAAACTCGATAGACCTTTGTCAATTTACGCCGGTGGGATATCCGTTAGCCTACCAAGGGTCAAGCGTACCGCTCAAAAGTTGTTACACATGCCTAGTCATCGTCTCCACTGACTTGCGAATTGAGACTGAGATGTCGCATCAGTCTTTGAAGTCTGATCTGCTTTATACGGGAAGGTGTACGCTTCTAGTGTAGACTCGTTGAAATGATAAAATCAGTGATGAAATACTCTAGGTGGCAGGGATCAAAATTGATTACAATGGTGAAGATGGATTCTCGCTTAGGTTCATCTCAACCGTCATACCAGATTTCATTATTTCCCTTATCCAATCCTCTTTATATTCTGCGGTTTTTGACTCTACTATTCACATCACCTTATCACTTGTCTTGCCAACTTGATTTACTGATGTAAGTAAGGTGTGGCAATTCAATCCAAAAGTTGAAAGTGTTTACATTTAACGTAGTTTATACAGAGCTGCGGCGTTTTGTTTATGATATGCACTTTCGCATCATTGAGTCATAGATCTGAAACTGATTGGGTCTTCATAGGTTCAGGCAATACCATTAGACCTTACTTGGCGGATGTAACTCACTGCTTGGTACACGAATCCACAAGTGATTGTCGATTCGAATTGACTGCGTTTACTAATGGTGTAGTATGCAAAGACGTTGGTGGTCATTCAATACATTAAGTAAGTTAAGCAATGATTACCCTAGCCTTCTTAATATGTGGTGTGCAACGTCAGTGCTCAGAACCAGCTCATTTTTTCGGTATCTCAATAAGCAGAAATATGATTTTCAGAGTGTCTACCCTTCAGAATTGCCTAACAATCTTAGTAACTTGAAATATTTGTAAAACCAATGAGCCTCTGGAGATCAACGTCTTCCAGGATATTCGTAGTAACTATGGTCTAAATGTTAATATTGATTCCCTGATGTCAATCCCTCTAAACCTACTTTGACTTAATCAACGAAAGATGACTTTCAAGCAATGGTTCGAATCCGGCCGCGGTCTAAATTTCCGTCTCCCTTTCAATCATCACCCAGTATAAAATACTAGTCTATCAAACTACGGCTATCTCAAATAGTCAAACGATATTCAAGCAGTGGGTTGTGAGCTTGAACACCGGTCCAACTACCGAGGTTTTTGGCAGCCAAGTTAGTATATATCCCTAGCCGTTACACAATAGATAAGGCTGATTGCTTACTGCAGGAGTGTGCACAAAATTGCTGAGTGAGATTTCGGTTTTCGTAATCTAGCGCCTAAATATATGCACCGGGTTGAGTTATATCATTAATCTTAAGTTTCATATAAGAGTTAAAAATCACTCAGGTTGATCTGTGAATTTCTCCTTTCAGCTAAATCAGCGAGATCTAAGCAACTGCGGAATGCCATTTCGCTCGTTCGGAGTTGAGCTTATCAATGGTGTGCGCCGATACAAACAACTCATAGACCCAGAATGCCCAGACTCACTAAATCTAGCGTTATACGACACCGAATAAATAGAAAAGGTTTTCCCACTTCTTGAATGAAGCACCTTTTTGATATTTTGTCATATTGTTACGCGAAAAGACGCCGTGTGTTTCAAGAAGCTGTTAGTTCATTTTCGTTTGTATAACGCCCGTGGAAATGATTATTTTGAGGAAAATATCGATAAGGATGTCTACATTTTGCTGGTATAATGTTTATTGATGACATTGGCATATTTCAAAGCCTCTCCTTTTTCTTTCTGGAACCTTACATGACTGTCCTTACCTTTAGTTATGAATGTCACCGGAAATTTTAGACTTTTCTAAAAGGATACAATTAGCCTGATTTATTAATTATCCTCACTATACTATTCCTTTTTTCTCTAAATCCCAGTTGCTGGATTTGAAGTTCCCGACAGATATGTTGTTGGTTACGCCTTCGACTACAATGAACATTTCCGTGACATACAGGTGAGCTTCACTATCATTGGAGAGTGATTTCAAGTTTTTGATGCGATTTTTCTCATATAAATAACGTGCATTTATAAATCTAGGAATTCACAATGAGATTGTGTAATGTCTTAGACAGACAGACAAAATCATAGTAGAACCTCACACACAAGTACATCGGCACAAGTTGTTACACTTCACAGTTACATACAAACAACATGTGGATAGGAAAACAGTGGCATTAAAATAGAGAAAGTTAGTGGGAGAATAAACAGTCTGAAGATAATGGTTAGTACAAATATTCAAGCTTTGGAAGACGCCATTGTGACCGATTTCCAGCCATGTCACATAGATTCTTCAACTACTGATTCTTATTGTCTCGAAGAACCCACCCAGCCAGCCAGCCTACATTTACCCATACAACTCAGGCCAACGGTCGAGGATTTCATCGACTGGTGTCGCATCTTGATCTGATAACTGTGAACTGTCGTCTTCTAATCTAATCCTACTTCCCCTAGGTAGGCGATGACTGACTCGATATGGACAGTATAGGACGAAGCTACTTTAGTCGACTGAGGTTCACTACGTCATCAATCGACTTGGTAGTCTTACCTAGTATGATTGACCTGACGTTGACTTTTGTCACACGGTGATTGCAACAAACACGAGGAGTATGTGTGATGAAAACTCAGAAATCGCTTTGTATCTTCTACTTTGAGAAGCAGAATTGGGAGTAGATAGGGTTGTCTGATTTCCCCATTCATCTCTAGCTTTACCATTTATGAAATTGTTGAGACAGGTGTGAAGGGGTTGGATGATGGTGGTGGTGTAGATCTACAACTGGGAGAATGGCTGGCTATTGGAGGTTGTATATGCGGGCAATATTGTCTTAGTGTAGGATGAGATACAGGTTAGTGAATTTAGACTAAGTAGGTTGGGTGTGAGTGTCCGTGAGTATGATATGTGGTTTGCATAATCGAAGTGCAGAGTAGTTTTGGAATGATTGTTAGGAATCGCTGCTTGTGCTTACTGTTGGTGGTGAACGTTGAAGTAGTCGAAAGTTTATGTATATGGCAAGTTATGTGAGTGTTGAAATGTCCAACTGCACATCGAGTAGAGTAGTATACGCCAACCTGCCCCACGTTTATCGCTGTCACGACGTGAATTCGACCATAAGAGGTGAGGTTTACAAGTCTTTGGTGTGAATAGTTGTTATGTGCTTCTGCTAAACCTGACGTTTTCGAGTTGATGATGTTCGACGACTGTGTGTTGAATCATCGTAATCTGCGTAGGATTGTTGGTATCCAGTGGTAAGACGAGGTAAGTGAGTTACGAAAGCGTGTGATGTTTGGGCATGATATCGACCTTCATTTATTGAGTGTAGTCATCTGGAAACACCAGTTTCCGTGACTCTGACAGGTGTTATGCATGTCTTTCCAATGGTGTGCATAACGTTGCTTGTTTACTAATCGTGGGAGTGGATGGAAGAAATGGAGGTGTGGTCAGTGTGTGGTGTGACGCTATGGAACGAGAGAGAGTTGTAATGGGTCAACATCTTTTGGTGGATGATGGATCTGTATGTGGGGTCCAAGAGATCACTCAATTCAGTGGCTCCGGAGGTTATCATATATAGCTGATGATGGAAAGGAGTGTTGGTGATGCTGTAGCTTCCCTCTATCTTAGTCTACTGAGATGTATTAAGTGTTTTGTTTTGAATGTATCTTACTGGACCGTCCTTCTAATCATTGTATTCTCATTGTGTTTTTGTGTTTTATTCATCCACTTTCGTCCGCTTTATGTCTTCATGGTGTTGTTATACTATTTTATGTGGTGCATTTCTTGGTGCCCTTGGTTGTGGTGTTTGTGTTCCAATAAACCACTACTACTACTACTACTACTACTACTACTACTACTACTACTACTACTACTACTACTACTACTACTACTACTACTACTACTACTACTACTACTAACTACTACTACTACTACTACTACTAACTACTACTACTACTACTACTACTACTACTAACTACTACTACTACTACTATACTACTAACTACTACTACTACTACTACTACTACTACTACTACTACTACTACTACTACTACTACTATACTACTACTAACTACTACTACTAACTACTACTACTACTACTACTACTACTACTACTACTACTACTACTACTACTACTACTACTACTACTACTACTACTACTACTACTACTACTACTACTACTACTATATACTACTACTACTACTACTACTACTACTACTACTACTACTACTACTACTACTACTCTACTACTACTACTACTATACTACTACTACTAACTACTACTACTACTACTACTACTACTACTACTACTACTACTACTACTACTACTACTACTACTACTACACTACTACTACTACTACTACTACTACTACTACTACTACTACTACTACTACTACTACTACTACTACTACTACTACTACTCTACTACTACTACTACTACTCTACTACTACCACTACTACTTCTACTACTACTACTACTACTACTACTACTACTACTACTACTACTACTACTACTACTATACTACTACTACTACTACTACTACTACTACTACTACTACTACTACTACTACTACTACTACTACTACTACTACTACTACTACTACTACTATACTACTACTATACTACTACTACTACTACTACTACTACTACTACTACTACTACTACTACTACTACTACTACTACTACTACTACTACTACTACTACTACTACTACTACTACACTACTACACTACTACTACTACTACTATACTACTACTACTACTACTACTACTACTACTACTACTACTACTACTATACTAACTACTACTACTACTACTACTACTACTACTACTACTACTAACTACTACTACTACTACTACTATACTACTATACTACTACTACTACTACTACTACTACTACTACTACTACTACTACTACTACTACTACTAACTACTACTACTACTACTACTACTACTAACTACTACTACTATACTACTACTACTACTACTACTACTAACTACACTACTACTACTACTATACTACTACTAACTACTACTACTACTACTACTACTATACTACTAACTACTACTACTACTACTACTACTACTACTACTACTACTACTACTACTACTACTACTAACTACTACTATACTACTACTACTACTACTACTACTACTCTACTACTACTACTACTACTACTACTACTACTAACTACTACTACTACTACTACTACTACTACTACTACTACTACTACTACTACTACTAATAATAATAATAATAATAATAATAATAATGATAACTATAATTGTAACCTTCTACTCTTAACGAACATATCTCACTGCTCTAAATAGGAGAAAAAAGAATGTCGTTTAATATACTCGTCCCTTGATCGGTCGTGGGATATCTCACCAGTCGTTACGACAGGTGACGGAAGTTGGCAAATACGAAACATTCCTTCTGTATCTGAGGTGAGATTTCGTTAGTGACCGACCTATTCGTGGTGTTGCAACTCCCCACGTAATTGAATCGATTGACTGCCGCTAACACTTCAATCATATCATTTAAACTGGGAGTAGTTGTAGACCATTTGTGCAGCATCATCTTACATGTGACAGCTGTGAGTGAAACGCATGCCAAACGTATTCAGATTTCTGGTGAACGTGTTCAGTAGACTCTATATTTTGTCAGCGTCATCACCTAACAGGGTAGTATTGTCTGCATGTGAACAGTTCAGGTTACACTTTAATATATTCCTTGGTTATATAAATGGAAGTGGAGTGTTTGAAGGATAACTTTAGACTTCACACTTGAGGGCTGTTTACTTCATCGAAGCGGCTAAAAAGATGAACGGTTCATTGTCAAGTCGAATATTTACAAAACGGTAACGATTTATATATATATATATATATATATATATATATATATATATATGCGCATGCCATCACCACCTACCTCGGTGTGTCATGCTTGTGGAAGCTAGACAAGTTTGGAAGAGCGTTCACGATGTCCATACTAAGACGTGACACGAGTCGATGAAGTTTCCAACTGTTGATCTAAGCCATATGGTTAAATATATACTGTCTGGTAGGAGTCCACGAAACGATAGGTATCAGTGATTGAAGAATCTTGGTGACATGGCTGAAAATCAATCGGTGACACTGGTTCAGATGTATTCAGTCTGTGATTTCTTCTAGAGCTGGAATATTTTTACTAACCATTATCTTCACTGTTTTTCTATCCACCTGTGATAAATTGAGCCAGATGTACTTGTGTACGAGGTTCTATGTTGTTTTGTCTACCTCTTTCTTCGTGAATGTTCAGTATGCCGAAAGCTTTCAGGGGATTCCCAGGCTTCTTTATAAAATCTAGGAGACAGTTTCACTCTATAGCAGCACACTTAATATACAATTTAGGAGTATTGCATTTTTGATGAAGTATGCTAAATGCGCATTTCGTCACATTGTAACCTCATCAGCTAAATGTATTTATATTCTCAATGAATAGTTTTATTCAAGCATCAATGGAATACTAGTCCTCACTAGAGTTGTGTTTTCTGTTTGTTTATACGCAAAAGTGATTGTTTATTGAATAAGTGTCTTACAGTAGTGCTTCGCTGTATGCATAGATCACTTTCGATATTCAGTAGAGTAGGTCGTATAAGTTGACTTTTGTGAAAGCCTTTTAAAATATTCATGTAGTTGTTTATTTTACAAGATATTTTGGATTAATTCATTTGGAACTTTTTTTGATAAACATATCAGTTGGCCGTGATTCATAAGCATTAAAGATCGTAAAGTAGAACGTGTGACCTGTGTATGTGTATATGTGAAAAAAGCAGTTTTTTGTCTGGTATTATCATTGTACATGATTTTATTTGAATTTGACCCATAATATGGATACAAAAGTTGTTTGTTTACTCTTACCAATTCGCTTATTTTCAGAATTCATTAATGTAGAGACAGATACATATGACAGTAAACAGTGTGTTCTGTATTCATCATGCATCGAGATCATCTGGGGGGGGGGATATTAGAAATCGCAGAGTATTACACAACTATTTCATCTTAGTATGAACCAATTCAAGGATCATTAGTGACTTACTTCAAGATGAAATTCCTGAGGCTTTAATGAGAAGTGATGATGGATAGGGCGAACAAAAGTCCGATTATGAGAAGTTACTTAACGATAGTATGTCATGAGGGTAGGGGAGTGATAGTAGTATGATTCATTTTTTGAACTTTTGTATTTTTGAGGCCGGGTAGTTGAAAAAAACAACAAATGAACCAACACCGCCGGCCTGGCAAACCGTGGAGCATGGGAGAGTGTGTTATTTTTGAGGCTGACCTTTCCTACCCCGCCCCTCTTCCACTGGGAAGGTAGCATCCGCATAGTACTGGTGGTCATCCAAGGGAAACACCTTACTGTTGTCACACCCCATCTAGCCAGCAGCAGTACAACTTCGACCTCAGACCCCCCATCATAGTGTAGTAATTTACACCACAACGGTAACTGCTTTTCGTCTGACCACTATCCAACAGACCTTTGTGGTATGGTAGGACCTTGAGGGAGCAAGTGTTCGCTACACCAGCATAGCTCGTTGGGTCATTGTGATATGCAAGCCTGACCACCACGTCAGGGTAGTAGCTATCGGTTGGCAAGTGATTTATTATTATTATTTGTCCCTTGGGTTACTAATGGAACACACGGATTCAGTAGCACGCCTACATTCCACTCTCTTCTCTGCAATCTTTTCAGTCTGAATCCACGACTGCCCACAAGCTCTTATTTATTCCTCGCACGATCCCATCTGGGTTCCACTCGACGGTTGGCCTGCTGCGTGATGTCCACAGTCGGCCTCCTTAGTGTATGCCCAATCCATCTCCACTACCTTCCACCGCTTATTTATTCAGTGATAGGCCCTTGCTTCGTTGGCTCGTCGCCAGCCAGCCAGAGTTCCTTGTTGCTTATTCTTATCATTCTCACCATCTGAGCTTCAGTAACCAGACAGCCTAGGCACTTGTTGATGAATGTCTGTAATTTGTTGGAAATCCCTTTCATAATGCACCAAGTCTCTGAGCCATACAGAAGCAGTGACTTCACTGAATTGGTGTTGAAAATTCGGATATTGTTCACGCTTTATGCTGAGTGGAGTGCAGAAGATCTCCACACTGATTGATTTCAGGTTAATGAACGCCTGTCTTGCTGCCTTTCCGATCTTGGTTGGCTTTGACTTCCTCGTGTGTGTGGCCTGTGATTGAGACAGTGCTACTTAGATAGGTGAAAGAGGCTACTTCCTTTAAGTTTCTCCCATTCATTGTGATTGGAGCTTGTTGGTTGGGTATAACAATCATCACCCCTGTCTTCTCTTCGTTCACTTGTAGTCCCGTCTTCTCTGTCTCGCCTCTTCTGTCAACTTGTTAGTTTTCGCCTGTAAATCTTCGAGTTTGTGTGACATTAGACACAAGTCATCGTTGACGAAATCCAAATCTTCTAGATTCTTTTCCGCGATCTTCCCACTCTTCACAGTCTGAATGGGCAAGTGACAATAGTAGGATATGTGAACTAATAAATGTTGACTTAGCTGATTGTAGAATGTATAATCCTATAAGTATGCACTACTGAACAGTTGCATATCACGACTAACCAATTGTTCCGTGCAAATAATCAATAAATCACTAAATAATCTTCAAGTTGTTATTATTGTTGTTGTGGTTTTATCTTTCTTATAATCTAGCATATCTGTGCAATTAATGAAGTTGGAGAAAAGAGATTCTCTGTGCCTTCAACAAAGAAATCTTTATAAAGCCAAAAATTTTGTCTTTTTTTTTAAAATTAAATCTTCTTATATGTGTTCAGAGAACACATGATACAGTCCTCCGTCTTCATCTTCATCTTCAACTTCATTTTATTTATTTATTCATTCACATTTGTTAGATCAATTTCTTCGTATATATGTAAAGATGTTCAATTGTATGGATGTGTCTATTTTTTTTATTCCATCATCCATCTTATATCCTTTATTGTTTTGTTGGAAGTTTAATTTGACTCCAATATATTTTATATTGATAATAGAAATGATTTTATCATTATAAATTGTGCTTATCTGATTGGTTGATTGATTGGTTGATTGAAAGATATTTGTTGTTTATATTCTCTTGGCACTGTTTCAAGTATGCATTAGTTTGGATTGGAGATAAATTAGACTTTTTGTGTGTGTGTGTGTGTGTTTCATAATCTATTGGTTTGTTTGAATGCCTAAAGTGATCGGTATAACTAAGTTTTTACTACCATGAAGGTGTATAACAATGTAAAGTAGTTAACTTTAATTAGTTGTTACTTATAGGTATGAAAGTGTTATCGATTGAGGATTCAATCGCCTAATACTCCTTATATATTGTTGAATAGTTGTATGATATGGTGAATAGACAACAGCAAGAAACTGTTGACCAGTTAACGTTGACATAGTGGCTGAATGGTCGTGATTATGTGTGCTCTATAGTTGGATGAGACAGCTATGAAGTACTTGGAAGCTGCCATTGTTTCTTCAACTGATGTGTCACTTCGTTCTGTATATACTACCTTGAAAGTTAAAAAAATTTATTCTGAGAATTTGTTATTTAGAGAGTTGAAAATTTATCTAACAAAGGTTTATATTACTAGGCTATGAGATAGATTTATAGTACATAAGAGCCTATGATACCATCTGGTTGCCCAAATCATTTTACTATGTTTATTAGAAAGCTCAGTGATGCTTTTGAAGTGAAGACAGGAGTAAAACAAGAATGTCTAGTATCACCCATGATATTCCTGATTGTGGTGGACTGGATCATGCAACAAACAGTGAGGAGCGAGAAGAAGGGGATACGCTGGATCGCGGAAAAGAACCTGGAAGATCTGGATTTCGCACGATGACTTGTGTCTGATGTCACACAAACTGGAAGATTTACAGGCCAAAACCAACAAGTTGACAGAAGATGCGAGGCAGCGCAGACGGGACTTCAACTGAATATAGAGAAAACAGAGGTGATGATGATTATACCCAACCAACAACAACAACAGCAACAACAACAAGCTCCAATCACCATGAATGGGAGAAACTTAAAGGAAGTAGCCTCTTTCACCTATCCAAGCAGCACTGTCTCAATCACAGGCCGCACACACGAGGAAGTCAAAGCCAACCAGGATCGACAAGACAGCAAGATAGGCGTTAATTAGCCTGAAATCAATCAGTGTGGAGATCTTCTGCACTCCACTCAGCATAAAGCGTGAACAATATCCGAATTTTCAACACCAATTCAGTGAAGTCACTGCTTCTGTATGGCTCAGAGACTTGGTGCATTATGAAAGGGATTTCCAACAAATTACAGACATTCATCAACAAGTGCCTAGGCTGTCTGGTTACTGAAGCTCAGATGGCCAGAATGATAAGAATAAGCAACAAGGAACTCTGGCTGGCTGACTGGCTGGCGACGAGCCAACGAAGCAAGGGCCTATCACTGAATAAATAATGCAGGTGGAAGGTAGTGGAGATGGATTGGGCATACACTAAGGAGGCCGACTGTGGACATCACGCAGCAGGCCAACCGTCGAGTGGAACCCAGATGGGATCGTGCGAGGAATAAATAAGAGCTTGTGGGCAGTCGTGGATTTAGACTGAAAAGATTGCAGAGAAGAGAGTGGAATGTAGGCGTGCTACTGAATCCGTGTGTTCCATTAGGAACCCAAAGGACAAATGATAATAATATTAGAAATATCACACAGTGGAGGAGCAGCAGCGTTTATTGGATAAAATTCTATGTACTTGACCTCACAATCATTACATGGAACCTGATAAACCAGATTGTTTTGCTTAATTGTATCGATAGGATCTTTT